GTTAATTCGCTTTATTAGGCTCTTGCATTTAGTCGAGCATGCTAAGTGTTATGTGCTACGTGTTTATAGGTGATTGGCATGTCTACTTGCTTTCCATAGTCATAGATGAATGTAATGGATGAATGCACGTCACCACACTAGTCCAACGCTAGTTGTGGCTCATTGTCCCGCTTTCCACTAGTCCAACGCTAGTAGAAATTCATAGATATGGGCTAGTCCAACGCTAGACCCTTAGGGATTTCCCTCGCTAATTCATACTTGCATGTTTCACTACATTTCATGTATTTTTCTTAGTTTTTTTAGCATTTGGCATGATCCTCCAATCCTTTCCCCTTCATTTTAGGCTTTTGCATTCTCATGCTAGTTATAGGGTACATTTGCTTGAGAGTCCCTTTTCGATAAGGGAAATGAGCGAGTGTGACTACAAAATAGCCTTAGCACGCTAGTTCTTCCTTCTAATCAAAGGAAAAATTAAAGTCGTGAAATTAGGAGTCATTCCCGTACCCGACTTGATGCATTCCTCTAGGTTCATGTACACTCATTCTTATCATATCATTTCCTCACTCTTTTATCCACATTTTTTCACAACTTATATTTTTCTCAATCCACATGCCATGTTTGCACATTTTTCTTCTTTTATGATTTATTTTTTACCTCACAAATTGCACCCAATTGCACTTATATGTATCTACTATTATATTTTCATCCACTAGCACACAAACACCTTTATTTTCTCAATTGGCACACATGCACTTTTCTCAATTGGCACACATGCACTTTTCTCACATTTGCACACTTGCACTTTTTCTTACATTTGCACACTTGCATTTTTCTTACATTTGCACACTTACACTCATACTTGAGTCTTCATTTGCATTATTCATGACCTCTATGAGGGCTTTCCTTATTGGCCACCACAACTCATGTGGTTGGGACCAAAAGCCTCATAAGAGACATTTTAGATTTAGGATTGCATTTTTCTTTCCTTTTTCATATTCATTAGTCACATCCAACATGCAACGCATACTTTGGGTAGGAAAATTAGGAAAAGAAGGGTTAAGTCACGCAACTAGCTTTGGCTAGGGTAAGGGAGTGCATTAGGCTTTGCCTTTGCCTTCTCCCTTATCAAATGTGACCCCCGATCCCTTTCTTTGGTTATGTAGACCTAAAAGTTCTTTTAAAAGGGTTTGTTTACTTTTCTTTCCAAAAAAATCACTTTTTTGGTGACTTGGTACACCCTAACTCTATACCAAGTGGCGACTCCATTTTTCATTCAAAAACCCTTTTTGAACTTTGTTTGGCCAAACCGTCGCATCTTCAAGTCCCACGGCCTTTTATTTTCATTTTCACACACGTTCACATACACACTAATTTCACACACGTCAAAAAGTGGGGCGCGACAGTTACCAGTGACTTACTCAAGGGGAACAAAGATCAATCAAGGGATAGAGATACAATTGACCAAGAAGCCCCATCTGCTTAGCAAGGTAATAGTTCTTGTTTACTTCGGTTCCTATGTAGCACACAAATTATTGGCATGAATTTGGAGATATATCTAATAGAGATATTTATGTCACTTTTATTTATATCGCATTATTTCCAGTTCCTTTTTTTTGGTTGTTTTTCCTTTTTTAACCTCTCTTGTATTTGTCTGCAAATATAAGAACTATTATCACTACAAGAAGTAGAAAAGTAACTAATTTCAAAAGGAACCATTAATACAGTGGGCAATTGCGGAAGTGCCAGAAATAGAACTGGCTAAAAAGGTGGAGGAGTACTGGATTAATTCCAATTGGGACTGGTGTACGTTAAGTAAATACCTTCATCAGAACCAGATCAATTTGATTAGAGCAACCATGGTTTATAGTAAGGATGACAATCCGGACTCGATTACCTGGGTTCCTGAAGCTATAGGGACTTTCACTACTGCTTCAGCTTATGATTTAGATGGGCAGTGCGTACTCGTAACGAAGCAAGGCATGGCATGGGAAAGGCTATGGAAACTCAAGGGCCTAGGGAGATGGCAATTTCTGTTATGGATTGTAAAACATGGGAGACTGCTTACTAATGCTGAGAAGCATAGGAGACACCTGCTTCCTACTGGGCAGTGTGAGATTTGTTGGGCAAAAAGTGAAACCATTCCTCATGCACTATGGGATTGTGAATGGATAAGTGTTATCTGGAGTAAGTTAGTTCAGCAGAAATATTGGAGGATATTCAAGGCTAAAACTCTGGACCAATGGGTAGATTGGAACATTAAGGAAGGCGGAAATAGGCAGAAATTAGGAGATTTTCTGGCCTATATTGTTTTAGCGGGTGGTTCATTGGGCATGGACAGCTAGGAACGAATGGATGCATCAAGGCCTGGATAGGAAAATGTAAGTCAATGCAAAACAACTTGTGAAGCATGTAATGGATGTTTAGGAACTAAATTCAAATTTCCACGAGACTGGGAAAAAGCAGCTTCAATACATTAGTTGGGGTAAACCCAACCAAGGATGGGTTAAACTAAATGTAGATGGAGCGTCTAAGCACAATCCAGAGAGGGCTAGTGCGGGAGGATTGATCATAAATGAATATGGTCAGTGGATTGTAGGATTTAGTGCTAACCTGGGGCGTGCAAGTAATGTGGCTGCAGAACTTTGGGCTATTCTTATGGGGTTACGAATTGCTTGGAATTCGGGAAAAAGAAAAATTGTCATTGAGTCAGATTCTAAGACTGCTATTTTACCCATGTTTTCTGAACCGGACCGGGTATCGACTCGGTCGAGTTCAGGGGTCAGGGGTCATTGGATTGAACCGGGTTCGATCGAGGTTGAACCGGATGATGTCATAAATAAAAATAATTTAAAAATTAAAATATTATATGTAAAATATCTAATAACATGTTAATATTAATAAAAGTATATTCATATATATTTGATGTTTCAAATATATATAACAAGAAAATTCAAAGAAATTAGAACAATCAAGTAACAATTTATATTATTTAATGAGCATTAATAAGTTTAGAATTAAAATTATGGACTTAATTGAAAAATAACACTAAACTTTAAGACAACATTTATAAAGTATGAAATATTTGAGGTATATTAATAATTTTTAACATCCTAGGGGGCAAAACATAATATTAAAAATATTTTGACCTTTAAAAAAAAAGTAAAAAAAAAAAGAGTCTATACAACTAGGAACAACAGATCTTTTGATATTATTGTGGATCCATACTCTCTTTAATACATATTCACCACACTTGCTTATACTAGAGCGTGCCTTGTACGGAAAATTGGATGAGTGTCGACTGTGGAGTATGCGAGCACATGCTCACTCTTACTGATGTTTAGGAGCAAAAAGTAACATAGTGGGCTCCACATGAGTTTCAAATTGGCAGATTCTTATTTTCCCACCGACTCGGTTCTTATTTTTTTGGGTCAAATCGGGTCAAACCCAGGTTTTGACCTGAGTTGACTGAGTTTTTAAATTTCCGATTTTTAGGGTTAACTCGGACTGAATAATTGACCGATTTCCAGTTCGATCGATCGAATCGATTGGTCCGATCCGAGTTTAAAAACAGAGTGTTTTACTGCTGGAGTCAACTTCAAAGGAGAGTCTACATTGGAATATAATAGTAGAGATTAGAGACATGTTGAGCTGGAATTGGGATTGTAAATTGGAACATATCTGGAGAGAAGGGAATAGGTGTGCGGATCACTTAGCTAAATTAGGGAGAAGTTTGGACTATGGCTTGACAATGTTTGGGGATCCACCGCAGACAGTTAAAAAACTACTGGGCCAGGACGTGTGTAGAGTGGCTTTCTCTCGTTTGATCAACATGTAACGAGCCAATGACTCTCCTTAGCACCAACAAAAAAAAAAAAAAAAAAATCATTAATAACAGATGTCAATTTTTTATGTTGGATTGCAGCTCATGCTCTGGCCAGACAAGCTAAAGTTGCAAGTACTCAGAACGCACTGGTGTTTAAGGCACCTAACTATGTATAGTCTTTTGGCTTATTACAATTAATAAATCATCTTTTTCTTTAAAAAAATTAGTTATTTTGGACGATTGTTGTTTTGTCCTTCTTCAGAATATTAAATTTGAGATATACAATATTGGCTGAAGCATTCAAGATAATGAAAGCCCGATAGATCTCAATGAAAGAATAAACAAACTAATATCAGCTAAGCTATTCCTAAACTTCTTTGCGGTTCCCCAACAAAAATAGAATTGTTTTAAAGTTGAAATTGGCTCCTAGACAAATCAATATAAATACAATATCTATATTTCCATACTAGGAGGTATATAACGCGCGATGCGCGTAGGTAACTAAAGACAATATGCCCTGTCAAATATGTCAAATATGCGTTGGTAATAGTGCTTAGCATGCTCAAGTGAATGTGAAAAAAAGTTGAAATTATAAGCTTAATTACACTAATCGTTGGAAGATGAAAATGGAGTGTGCAAAGCATACATTATATTAGAGACTGGAATAATTGTAATTATAGAATAGTTGCAAATTTAATGAATATCGTATAAATAAGGTGCATAGGGAGATTAATTCTTCAAAGTAGAAGATGGTGGTAGATATTAAATTGAAATTTAAATGGAAAATGAGAAATGCCATGTATACACAAAGTTGAACATAATAAAGCGGCTCCCTTCAATTTAATGCAAATGGAAAACTGTAGTAATGCAAAAGGCATTGAAAGGCATTAGTAGCGACAATGACACACAAGCATTACCCCCTTCAATGCCTTTTGCATTACTACAGTTTTTTTGCCAAGCCCAAGCAATACAGCTCGAAGCAAATATATCTGAGCCCAAATAACAAAATACCCTGTTGGCCAAAATGATTATACCACAATATCAAAATATAAATTGAATTGACAAAAGAAGAATCCTTCATTCAAAGGTTGGAAATTGGAACAAGCTTCAGTACAGCATACACTGATTATTTATACAAACATTTGACAGAACAGAGAAAGTAGGGAACAACAAAACAAGAAAAATTAATAGATGATATCTTTGTCCATTTAATAAATGTATAGATAACAAGATGAGGATCAGTAAAAGGATAAAAAATTTGATCCCTTTTAAGCCTGGCTCTTATAAGGAATGGCCTTGATCACTATCTAATGATACACTACAGCGAGAGCAACTCCAATGAAGGGTCTAACCTAGAAGACCCACTGAAAACCAGAGATAAAATAGTTATTTAGCTAAGAATATGAATAGATACTGGGAACATGAAGACACAATCATTATAGGCTTAGATACATGATCATTCCATCCAAGGTTTCTATTGAAGATGATGGCTACACCAAGACTTCTTGCAGGGTCGATGCCAGTGCCCGTAACAGGGATGCTGGCCAATTGAACCAAGAAAACTGCAAATCCAATTGGAAGAGGAGCCAAAATCTGGAACATAAAAAAGAAAGAGATTTGTAAACAATGTCCAAAATTGTTTGATTTCTATGAACTTAATGATCTTTACCAACGTGTTTGATTGCCAGAATCTAGCAATAGAACAAGACACTAAAATTTAGCAACCAAGTACAAATAGATTATGATTAAAATAGTCTCATCACTGAAGCACACGCTGTCAAAAGGTGAAAGAGATATGTGAACTAAAACAACACAATGCAGATAACAAAGCAAATGAAGGGAAGTACAATATATGCAATCTTAAAGACCTAAAGCTAATAAATACGACAATAACAATGTAAAGTAACATACTATCCCCAATTGAGGTTGCGTAACATCTTACTTACATTCTTGGCTAGAAGCCATATCCTGTACTTCTGTACTTGTATCACAGGCATCTCCATCCTGAGGATGCTACAAATTGAGATCAAACAATCTAAGAAGAACATCTCAACTAAGAAGATTTGAATTAGTTTACCCAGTTAGGGCAGTAGGCCATTGCAGCAAAGTAGTTACAGAACCTATACACAACAAGCAATGTGTAAAGATAGAATATTGGTCTCAAATCAATATATTTATTTTTTTTGACTTTTTAACTCAAACACAAACCTTATTCACACCTGAGGTGTTTTCTGACAGGTACTACAGCAAGGGGAATCAAACCTTGCTTAGCCCCAGGAGAGATTAATGTCGTCATGGAGTGAGAGATTAATGTCGTCATGGAGTGGAAGACATTTCAAATTCAGTTAAGGAAAAATAACTGATACAGCCTTTTTTATTGTTTCCATCCTACACATCGACATAACCATCACAACCTCAAGTAGCAAATGTACCATAGCTACAAATTAAAATCAGTTTTGAGACAGATTTTGGCAAAAAGCTCAAGGTATTCAATCAATAGATAATTGTAATAGATCCAACTCAATCACTCAATATATCTAGAGTTGATAAATCAAGCACATAGGCTTATAAATCATTCATGGATACATTGACATTATAAATCATTCTCTTTTGTTTGTTCCATTCCAACTCAATCATTGACATAACTACCTTAAGAATACATGAATCGGCTCCACTTATCAAGTTCAAAAAAACAGATGTTTCCTAAAGATGCATAGTTATGATGAGAAGCTTGAAGGTCGTGATTGCCTGGGGAATATCTAGAGTTGAAAATTGGAAATCAGGAAAGATAAATTCAGGTTCGATCGCTTATTCGTAAGCTGTTAAAGTTTTGAACTATCCCCTAATTGATTGTTTTTGCCTTGTTTCTGCAATTATCTCTCATATTTGTTTACAGTAAGCACCATCACATCAAGTAAAGAACACTTCTCTTGCACCCTATATCAATCTGACATGATTCGATCTGGTACTGAGACTACCAAAACCCAAGCTCGTAGCCCAAAGAACCTACAACACTTTGTTCACCATAGCTGAAGACATACTTGGAACAACTAAGGTACCATATATTTTCTTTTTTTTTTCAGTGCATAGGCAGACACAAACATATAGAGTTATAATAAATCACACACACCTCAAACAAAAGAGAAATGAATTCTTTCATATCTTGATAAATACTTCAAATGTATACTAATCCTATGAACAACCAAGTAAAATGACATTGATATGGTATGAAGAAACATACACATCAGCTTGTATGTACACTTCAGAACCAAGATTGATCAATGTCCTCAGACTGGTTACACTATTTTTCTCCAATGTCTCTATATTTCTTTTCCAATCAGAGCTACAAGAAGTTAAGAGAAAAAAAAAGTAAAGAAGCATTGCAGGTCAAAGGGAACTTGTGCAAAGAAGTAGGAGTCAGAGCAATAAAGATGAATAGTATCAATACCCAAATGCAAGAAAACTTCAAACGATACAAAACTTTCTGTTGTTCAAATACCTCGTTCTTGCAAAAGAGATACCCAGAATATTAGAAATTTGGCATTAAGGTAGGCATTAAGGTATAAACAGAAAGTAGGTAAGTACTCCAACTCATATAATCCCACTGCTGATGGTAATAAGCTCAATAAAGTGGTAACAGGGGATGGTTCTCCAAATAACAACTGTAAGCGGGTGAGTTCAGTATGAGGCAACCAACGGATTCCCACCCACACCCCCCCGCCTCAAGAAAATAGAAAAGGGAAAAAGGGAGAAAAAAATAGAAGGAAAAGAAAAAAGAAAGAAAAGGAAATGAATATTGGCAATATGCGAGTCAAATGAAGCAAAGTCTAATCTATTTATACACAAAAAAGGATCACTCTCTTCCAGTTTCAGATCGTTAGTTTTCACTACTACAGGAAGTTCAGCTACCGCCCGCTAGAAGCAAAAAAAAAAAAAAAATTTAAAGACATCGAGTGAGAGAATTGGGCTCCAAAACACCCTTCCGTACAATGATACAAAGATGGAAAAAGGACAAAAGAAAATGAAGAAATTTACAGTAATAACCAGAAATTAGCTAATTCAAAATCCTCCCAAGCTGTTCAATATATTTCTTATCTGCATTGGCTAGGCGATCTTGAAACTGCGCCCACTCACTTCTGCACCTCTCTCTTACCTACCAAATTAGATAGAAAAGAATTGAAGCTAGTTACTTGACGTTTGGACAAATCTAATGAAATTCAGTTCAATGCAAAATCATGCAATTCAAACAGAGTGCAGATATAAGACCTATGAATCCTAATTTAAACATGATTGTTAGAATGTAGGTGATATAGAATAACTCAGATTACCATAAAATTGGATGAAGAAGCTTTCAGAGTTGACTTTTGCAAAAAAACGAAGGACAAAGAAAAGGCCTCAATAAAAAAAATATACAGAAAGGTTGAAATGGAAACCGAACAAGTAACAGCTTACATACCCCTTGCCAAGGAGCTTTTCCATTTTCAGATTGACCCTGGAATCAACGCAGCTGAAGCTGTTAGCATCATTATCAACAAAACAAATCTAAATGAGGAGAGACCAGATCAAGGGGGTTGCTGCTAAAAGTTGCTTATATTATAAATGAAGAACCATTTGCTCAAAAATAGAAATTAAAGTTGAACAGAACAACATTTGCAAACAACTAATCTTCATTATTTTAATCACCTCTAGGAAAAGGAAAAGCAAGTCCCGATGGTTGTAATAAAGTAGTTAACTGACCTGACTTCCCAAAGAAGGAATAACTTGATGAACTATCCACTGAGAGTCAACCACATCAATTTTCTCATGTGCAGGCTACACAGGCAAAATACACTTACAATGAAACTGATAATACGCAGACATCCATTTGAAATAAATACAAGTTTTCCAATTTTTCTGTTTTACATCCACTGTCCGCAGATCTCTCCTTCCAACAGGAATATGAAAAGCAGGTAGACAAGCCTTCTTTTCTAAATCTTTCAAATAATACAGTGATAAGAAACAAATAAAACCACTGACCTCCACACATCTCCTTAGTGCAAAATCCAATCCCCAACCATGCACCAAATCATTCTAGAAATGTTATTGAAAGTAAAAAATCAGCGTGAGCTCTAAGCTGGAAAGAACCAAGGCTAATGAGAGCAGCTAAAAGCAAAAATAGTTGGAGGTACAACAAGGCTTAAAACATACGTATACAAATGACAAAGTTAGAGAAGGGAACCTGAATCATATGCCAAACACATCGCCAAGCATCCCGCGAGAAAACAGGAGCCACAATTTCCACAAAGCTGAATTCAAAAAGGAAAAACACAAGGAAAATTAGTTGAAGGTAAATGTTGAAGCCACCCCAATCCTTTATACTTTTCTTAACTATATATCTCCATTTTAAGGGCCTGAGCATAAATCATGGGTCATAACTCAACCTACAAACACTACCATAAAATCAAATTTTTCAACAATAAGACGTGATATTGCTATGAGATGTCTTGTAGCTAAGCTCTTCTTTTTGGCAATGGTCAACCTGATGAAGAAATATGACCATCAGAGAAAGTGAGCTTCTTGTTTCTGGCAATTTCAACTTTCAAGCCATGTAAATAAACAATAGTTTCCCAAGACAACATTTTTGTTGTTTTTCAGTTTAATATTATTATTTTCTTGGGTTAAAGAGATTGACCTTCGGAAAACCAAACAATCAATCTCTGGAAAATTTAAATCTTTGGAAAACCAAACAATCACTCGGAAGAGAAAAAAACAAATCCTTTTCAGGTTTGGATTATAAGAAAATAAAAACAAGAAAAACAAACTGCATGGCTCCCAAATTGCCATTCAGTCAATCAAAAGAACAATGTATCAGTTCAAAACTACAAAATTCAATCTATTATGATAAGTGAACCCTGCTCAATTACAATACAATCTCATCTCATACTACCTGGGGTCAGTAACTTGCTATCATCTTCTTTCCCGCAGGTGTCTCTAATATCAGAAAATAATGTTTCTTCCATTTATCTCCTTTTTGAATGCGAAGAATTAGCATAAAAGTCCTTAAAAAGTTATTCATAAAGAGGTTAACATATTTAGTTAACTCTACACTCATGACTGTAAGCGTTGGTAGATTTATTAGTTTCAGATACTAAATGATCCTCAGATATCCATTAAATATAGAAGAGATAAAAATTCAGACAAAGCCAGCAATTCTAAAGCCCAAACTGCTAGCCGAAAAATCGTGGAATTTTACACAAATTATACCAAAACCTCCAATTCTCTTAGCTAAATATAATAAATTACCAAAATTTACGAAACCCACAATGGGTATTAGGGCAAAATAATTCCCAAGGTCGGTTTTTTTCTTGAAGTGGTTCGATTATTAAAGAGGGGAAACAACGAAAGAGAACAAGATTTCCTAATGTTGTGCACCAATTAAGGACGATATACTACTACTCCGTTGAAATGTAGATAGAAATTCAGATTAATTGAAACAAAAGAAAAAAGAGCGCGAAAGAGAGAGATTGAGATATTGAGAGAAGGAAGAAAGTTGAAGAAAATATACCTCCGGTTGCAAGGTTATTCTCGGTCTGAAGAACCGCGATACTCTGCATCTTGGACGCCATCGTACCTTCTCTTCTATCTATCTCCCTGAGATTAGCTTTCCTTTTTCAGTTCAGAAACTTCTACTGCGGATTCCGTCTGTAAGTAGTAGAGAGCTACATTAGAAGATGTGGCTGGAATTTGATGATGGGGAGGAGAGGGAAAGACAAGTAAAGAGGGGCAGCCAAACAAACGGCTTCCAGAGTCCAAATCCCAGCTACCAAAGAAATCACAAACCAGTCTCCTAAAAGCAATGAAAAAAATGCTTGCACAACAAAACACAAGAACCATTAGCATCAAACAAGTTTTTACAGAGGAGGAGAAAAACATGAATACAGAGCAACCTGAAGAGAAGACCCGACCTCACTGGAGAGAAAGAAGAAAGCACAAGATCTGCAACCAACAGTGAAGATGGCACGTCCTTGGGCGGTAACAAGCCCGTGGATGAGAAAAAAAAAGAGAAAACTGCACGTCAGTGGACAAGGGACAAAAGAAATACGAACTTTAGCCAAAAAAAAAAAAACAAAAAAAAACAAAAAGAGGGCAGACCAGAGGTAACCCGAAGAGAAGATCTGACCTCACCGGAGATGAAGAAGAAAGCCTATTACAACAAAACAAAGGAGGAGGTCAACAAAATTTTGTACCAGGTTCCAGAGGATGCGGATAAGTGATAGAGCAACATTATCCCAAAAAAACCAAAAAAAAAGAAAGAGAATGTAATGGGAGAGAGAATGCAGCGGGAAGAGAGCAAATGCAGCAGAAGATCAGAAAGACGGAAGCACGGGCACATGGGACACTGGCAGCGAGGCCAGATGGGAAAACTAACGCGCGATGCGCGAAACAACATGATGATTCCAATCCACATGCCGGCACGTGAGAGAGACGACGAAAATCTGGCTGAATGGAGTTGCCATGTTATCTACTTATGTTGAAAAGCCACCCCCACTTGCTCGCTC